CACTGGACTTTAAAGAATCTTGCATCCTGTAGCGAGCAGATCTTTTTTAGCCGGAGTACACATCTCCTGTGGTCTTCAAGTTCTGAATAGCGGGAAACTGCTACTGGGCTGGCCAGTTTCTTCCCCATTCCGCCCCTGTAAAAGGATTTGCTTCCTCATGCTGTGATTTTATTGCAGCTTGCAGTGCAAAAACATGCTTTGGGAGAAAAGCACTTTCAGGTCCTGCTCTGTTTGGGATGGTGATTCAACAGGCTGCTGTTCTGTTATCAGAGCACAGAGCATAGTAGAAGCACTGAATCAGCTGGAACCAACAGGAAAGTTGGTATTTATTAAAGGAATGAATGGGCTTGTATAGAGGAATGAGAGCATTCACTGACTCCACCACAGCTGTGAGTGACAAGGGCATATCACCCAGGGTGAGCAGGGTGAGACACACACCTTCTTATACAGACCAGCCAAATTCAGGCAACACCTGTAGGACTAAGCACCACTCCACAGCAGAGACCCTTCTCCACAGCAAGGCTTTGTTCACAGCTCTCAGCTCCTCTTTGCTTTGCTGTCAGTTTTGTCACCCCTCTCCACTTGCCAGGGCCATTGCTCCGTGCCAGGTCCTCCCCATTTTGGACCCTGGGCATCTCCTGGTCCGTCAGCTGTTGTCTGTACTGTGGCATTACACTGAGTCTGTGTACCACGTTCTAAGTGGTATGGCCACCACTGTGGTAGGTCCCATGCAGACACACAAAAATGTGCTTTCTCCCCTGGATCATCAGCCCCAATGGCAAAAAAGTCAGCTCCACAGGGAGACAGGAGATGAGAGCAGTCTGGTGCATGATTAATTTATATCCTTAAAAGTCTGAAATGGTCCCAAAGTCATTAGTATTCCCCGTGTAAGAAAGCTGTCCAGATTTTCAACATATCCCTGCCTTATTCCCACATCTACTGGAATTAATGGCTGAAGGCTTGTAAAGCCCAAAAGGCAAACACAGGACTGCATTTAATCTAATGCAGTGGCTGAGATCATAGTTTGGGAGTCTAAGTGTTGTCAGAAGCAGAGACAGCCCAAATTCTCATTTATACCAAGACATTTTATAATATCCTGAAAGCATAAATGCACCTCGGAGTGGGTGCAGCGCCAGCGCTGACGGCCTCTTTGCACCATGGAAACACTGGTATGAAGGGCCCTTCAGACAAAGGAAGACAAGTGAAAATGAAAATCCATTCCTCACATCTAACTCAGGCAGAGGTGACACAGCCCAAGAGCTTTCTAAGGTAAATTAGACTCCAGACAGTTCACTCTGTCTATGTGAGTGTGCGCAGACCTGTGCAAAAGGAAGTTGTGCATGCACTAGAAGGAGGATGAAGAATCGACCCAAATGTTTTAAAAGCAGACATCAGCCCACACTTGGTTTTTTTTCACACTGCGTAGTAGTCCAGCCATCGCACCCAGAAATGAGTCTGTTTCTCTGTTGAAGGGGTTGCTTTGTCTAAGTTGGTGAGGGATCCTTTGAGACGAGTAAGTGCCACCTCGTGCTTCCCGTGTTTAACTTTTCACTGGAGAAGCTGGTGCCAATTTTACCCAAAGAAGTGCTGGGGTAACAAGGACCAACGTGTTGGTCCAACCCACCAGCCCTGGCTGAGCCCTGTGTTGCTCCCGGTGCCCAGCTCATTCCCGTGCACCATCCTCAGTCAGGGCACGCGTTCCAGGGCACTGAAATAGGAAAGTGCTTGCTAGAAACTGCACGAGATACTCCACGGCCAGCTTTTTTCTTCTAACTCTGAAGAAAATGTGCTGAATAGGTTGATGGAGCCATCACATATCATGGTGGAACTGGCACAGAAAAAACGCATCAGTTTTTTAGATTCGATAGACTATACTCTCTCTCACCCCGTCCCACACCCCATCCTACAGATGTGCAGAACTTAGTAGCTAAAAAAGAGGAGATGGAGACACAGAATTTTGTTACTGTAAAATTAATTTCTAGGAGCCACATTTGCTTTAAAAATCAGGCAAGCAAAGTAATGCCTGGCTTCAGTTATGTTGTTTGTTAACTTGTAGCTACTTGTTTCAAGATACACAGGCTAGTAGTCATGGAGGTCTGTATACTTCCAGTTCTGTGCTCTCTTTAATGGGCTATAATGCTTCTAAAGCTCCCCCCCCCCCCCCCTTTTTTTTTTTTAAATTTGCCTGAAGCAAAGGCTTCAAGGACTGTTCTACCTTCTTATTAGGGGATTGATCTTCCAGGTAAAAGAACCAAAATTCTTTCTTGGTGCAGTTCAAACCAGTTTGCACAGGGTATAAAAGATTGCCTTAACTCCAAGGTGTCAGAAAGGATCAAGGGATCAGCAAAGAAAGAGCTTAGATTTAAACGTGCAATAGGATGTCCCCAGTTTAAAGAGAGAATTAGGAGACCTAATGCAAAATGACAGAATTTAATAGGCTAATAGATTGTTATCTAGTTTATCGGTTAACATAATTCCAAACTGGGGAGAATAGCCCAGTGGTTGCTTCAGTATTATTATTATTGTTGTTATTATAAATGTTTATTATTTCGTTGATTTAAGATCCACTGGTCTGTAGTCTATTCACTGTCTTTCAACTAAACTGCTACACTCTGTTGCCATTGATTTGAAGAGGAGTGTGAAGAAGGCTGTTCTCCTGCAGAGAGGGAATCCCAACTGCACCTGTCAGCAAGATACTGTCTGATCTCCTTCCTATAACTTGTCAGTGGGATTTTCAAGGACTTCAGGATTTCAAAAGCCATGATGAGTATTATATCTCACCATCTAGAAACATTCTGACTTGTGACTGAATATTTTGCTTAATAATTAACAGAGGCCTAATAAGTGACAGAAAAAAAGATGTCAGCAGCAGCAGTGTGTGAGTCGAAGGTGTCCTGCGTGGCATCTCCCTGTGGCTGGGCACCCCGAGGGGTGTCTGTGGCCAGGCAGGACATGGCTGCAGGTGGGATGGGGGGGGACTTGGAGGGAGTGGGAAGCAGGTAGCACCCATGTGGATGGGCTGAGGGGCCTCCACACAGCTCAGTAGCTGCATGCTCCGTAATTCACCTTCTAAAGTGAAGAAGAGTTTTTATTTTTGTAACTTCTAAAGTATTGGTAGGAGTGGCTGTGGAAGTTGGCTGGCCTGAGCTCTTTAAACTTGCTGGCATGGGCAGGACAGGGGCACATCAGCACAGGCTATAAACAAATGGCTAGTGCTTGTAAGGGCTATAACAAATCATGGACAAAACATGCCATATGAATTGAATATGCAGACAAGTATGTATTTGCCAAATCCACTTCCCACCACACAAATGCGTGTGTCCTTAAACATGCATAGACGAAAACAAAAAAACTGAAGCAATGCCACTCATAAAAACATTTTAATGTACAAATATCCATGCAAAAAGGCTAGCTGTGATAGTTGTGTATTTTCTGTGAGCAGAAACATGAACACCATGCCCCAGACACTCTTGTGAAATAAATTTTGTCTTCAGTTTCAGTTTAATAGCTCAAGATCTTTCTGCCAGATGTATGAATGGCTTCAAGAGGAAAGGCACGGGAAGCAAAATGAAGAAGTGATCAACCTAGGAAATGGTTCTTGGGAAACCTTCCAGCATCATGGGCAAGCGAACACAAGAGTGCATTAGCACCGTGCACTGTCTGATGGATGCTCCAGCGGCTGGTTCACAGGACATATGCTTTGTTTCACTGAGAAACAGACATTTGTGGGACGAGAGAAAGCAAATGAATGTAACAGTCTCAACCCTAGAAGTTTTTAGCAGAGTCTTGTGAAATTGTACCAAAGAATGAATGGAGACTTGTGGACATACTAAGAGTTGTCAAGACCTGAAATTAATTGATGGACCACCATCATGGCTAACTCACAGTGACAAGTGTTGTTTTGCACTGTTTGGACTGGAAATGACATCTTGAGAAATTAAACTGAGGCCCACACGCTCAGAATCACTGGTTTTCAGCTGTTCTAATAATCCCTTTCAAAAATATCCCTGCTATTTTATGTGCCTCTATGCAAAAGAATTGTACAAAAAGAAGTAGGAAGGCTAGAAAAATGGATTTGGATTAGCAATGAGATTTCAACACAGAGAAAAGCAGTTGTATCAAAGACAAAATGTAGAGTTAAAAGTTGTAATGACAGAAACTCATAAAGACGCAGTGAGAATAAAAGGGTGAAAGGTAGTATTTGTGTTATGTAAACAGAGGCATTTTACCAATACACAGATGTGACAACTTATGCTGCTTTTTATGTAGCACCAGTAAGAATGCATCTAACATTAACTCCAAATTGCAGGCACTCTGGTGTTGGAAAGAAGGGGAGCAATGCTTTTGGAAAGTGAATTGGTGCATGATTGGGGAAGCATTGCTCAGGACATGAGTCTGCTTGCAGTGCCTGCAATTATGAAGTAATGCTAGTAGGGACAGAAAGCACCATCAAACAGAGATATGGTATTTCTTTTGATATATACCACAGGGCAAGGCTGGAGCATTGGGAATCTCTGGCAAAAAAAAGGTAATATTTCAGGAGCAAATCAGTCTGTGAGGATCAGGATCATGGAAAGGCTTTGTGGCCATTGCAAGAGTAGTCCACTGGGATCAGGAACTAACACAGGTAGGCTAATGAATGCAAGCCATTGTTTACAATGACAGTTATTTCACACAGGAGGAGAGAAAAATCAAGGGAAAGGAAGATGCATTGTCCCTTTTATTTGGAGGCCCGAGGCTGAAAAGAACCTGAAAAGGATGCATTTGTGGTTGTATGAAAGGTCTAGACTGGAAACAATGACTGTGTGGCATAATGTGCAACTGAGACCTGGTACAAAACCACCAGAGCCAGGTCAGTCTTTCTGCCACTTCCAGGAAAATTTGAAGTCATTAGAACTGTGCTGCCCTACTTCAGATACTGGTCAGACCCTGAGGTCATCCTGCTTGGCCCAACATTTCTGCAGAAAGCCCTGTTTTCAAGACAAGCTGGTGCTCCTCACCTTACCACCTTGGTGCCATTCCTCATGACCTGCATGTCCACCATGCAGCCGCCCGTGACATAAGCAGCCAGGTTCAGCTCGGAGAACTCAGCCTGGAATGGAGCAGAAAGACAGAGCGTTACTTGAGGGCAGCAGAGACACAAACACACAGACACAGAATTGTCTTCAGTTGGAATGTGCCTTGCCTTCTTTTTCTTTTTTTTTCCTTTTTTTTTTTTTTTTCCTGTGAGGCAATGAGCCATCCAATTACAGAATTACAGCTGATTTGCCCTGGAGAGACTGCAGAAGTATTTATGGGTCCCACACTTGGGGTGTACAAATATACAGGATTAGGCTTATTGCAGCAATAAGTACTGAAGGAATTAAGAATGAGAAAGCTGAAAAACACATACAGGAAAGAATAATAATAATACAAAGAGGTAAGGTCATTTGAATTCAAATTCCAAGTTTCCACTTGGAAACATCCATTTAGAATTATGTCTGAGTTGGCTGTCGTGCACTGGCCAGCTATAAACCTAATAGAAAAGATTTAAACCTAAATAGCTAAATAGCTAAAAAGCCTCATTATGCTGCAGGAAGGTGATAAGCAGAGAAACCCACCTGATGTGGTCTACTTATTAAGATTTTAACTATTAAAGGGTTAGCAAAGCTGGGTAGGCTATTAACAGTACTACTTAATTACTGAAACATTTTGTATTTTAAAAGAGGTGTGTGCGACTTACAAGGCTGGAAATACTGGCAAGGAATATTTAAGCTATGGGGAGTAAAAGGCAATGTGCACAGGGGTGATTATGACTGCAGTGGGTGTCAGTGAAGGTTAAGACACAAATCAGAGCGATTATCTGGGTAAGAGGTGTGATAATCCTCCTGCATGACCACTGGCTCTGCTGCCCCTCAGACAGGAGTGCCAGTGAAACTCGATGGTCTCGGGCCACTCTCAGTAAGGAGGAGGATGGCAGGATCACCTGATTAGCGCTTGTCTTGGCCTCCAAATCCTAACTCTGTTCTTTACGAACAAATGAGTAGACCTTAAACTAGAATAGCCTACTATTGTGCCACGCAAGTTCTCCCTTTCCGGCATGATGTAAACATACCTGTACAGATTCAGAATCCTATATTAAAGTAGTGTCTGTTTATATAAATACATTGTAAATATAAATATAAATATAAATATAAATAAATATAAATATA